GTTTGATTTTATTTCTTTCAATGCTGCTCATCTTCGCTTTGATTCCTTTCACCAGATTCCACCTCAACTTGGTCTTGCGCGTGAGCTTCCCCCGTCGCTAGCTAGCTAGCTAGCTAGATACCTAGCTAGCTAGCTAGCTAGCTAGCTGGCTGGCTAGCTAGCTGGCTAGCTGGCTGGCTGGCTAGCTAGCTAGCTAGCTAGTTGGCTAGTTAAATGGATAGATACGCAGTTAGCGAGCTAGCCACTCACCCACCCACCTACCCAGCTAGCCAGCTAGCTAGCGAGCTGGCTAGCTAACTAGCTAGCTGGCTAGCTAGCTAGCTAGCTAGCTAGCTAGCTAACTAGCCAGCTAGCTAACTATCTAGCTTGCTAAGTAAGCAACTAGCTAGCTAGCTAGCTAGCTAGTTAGCTAGCTAGCTAGATCTCATGCAGCTTGTTTGTTTGTTTGCTTTCAACTGTAGAACAAAAGCCTTAGCACTTAGTCTTGAGCATCAAGTGCACGCAGCTAATTATTAATTCTAATAATTTATTTTAATTAATTAATTAATTAATTATTGCTTTTTTATTTTTTATTTTTGCAGAATTCCACGACAATTGAAAACATGGACCAGTCTTCTTTCGATAGGAACAGATACGACTTGGGCGTGGGAAGAAATATTGAACAGGTCAGCAGCAGCTGCAGCAGCTGCAGCAGCAGCAGCAGCAGCAGCAGCTGCAGCAGCAGCTGCAACAGCAGCTGCAGCAGTGGGAGCTGTGACGGTTGTGCTTGTTGTTGCTTCTGCAGCTGCAGCAGTAGCTGAATTTACAGCAGCAGCAGCAGCAGCAGTAGCAGCAGCAGCAATAAGTTAGAGATGCTTATACATATTTATTTGAGTTTGCAAATAATAAAAAGATTTTGATGGCTTTTTGTTTTTGATTTTTTATGGGGGTGCAGCAACAGCAGCAGCAGCAGCAGCTGATACTGCAGCAGCAGCAGCTGGATTATTTTATTTTCTTTTGTTTATCAATGAGGAATTGTTTGTGATTGATTATTATTCTTAACTAATTCATTTATCATTTTGAATTCGGCATTTATTATGTTTAATATATTTATTTTTAATTCTTTATTTATAATCAAATCCTTTTTATTTTTATTAGTTTGCTGTCTTGCCTTTTGCTGCTGCTGCTTCATTTTTGTCCCGTTTTTGTGTTTTTATTTTCTTTTGAATTAAATATTTAAAAAACCCCTTAATCATTTATTGTGGCTTCACGCATTTGCTGCTGCCCCTAACATGCTGCTGCTGCTGCTGCTGCTGCTGCTTCACATTTGCTGCTGCTGCTGCTGCTGCACATCTGCTGCTGCTGTTGCTCTCTTTCGCGAGCCCCTCTCCCCCGTTGCTGCTGCAGTCGCGTCTCCCGCTCCCCTTCCCCTTGCGCTCCCCCATTCGCTGCTGCTGCTGCTGCTGCTGCTGCTGCAGGTGTTTGGCCCGAACCCCTGCTGCTGGCTGCTGCCCACGAACACAGCCGGCAACAGACCTGTGGGGGATGGAGTGCGTTGGAGTCTGCAGTACATGGTGGCTCAGGACTCTTGAGGTGAAGAAATATTTCTTTGCTGCTGCTGCTGCTGCTGCTGCTGCTGCTGCTGGAAAGCCTCTTTTCAAGGACCTATGGGGTTGGCTTTTGTTCAGCTTTTAATTGCTTTTTATTTTCGTTCTTTTTAACATTTAATTGCTTTTTATTTTCATTCTTTTAACTCTTAATTGTTTTTTATTTCAAAAACACGAAAATATTCCAATTCGGTTTGCTGCTGCGACCTCGGGTGTACGTGCAGCTCCTGCTGCGCCCCTCGGGTGTACGTACAGCTGCTGCTGCTGCATGCAAAAGCCGCGAAATAAATCCAATTAAACTGAAATTAAAGCATTTAAATGCATTTTAATTTAATTTAATTTAATTCAATTTAAATTAATTTAATTCATTTCATGGCGAAGAAACTGTTCAAAGGGTCCAGTGGAAAGACACCTCAAAGTGCTTTTAAAGATTTTCAAAAAAATGTTTACTTGAATTTCTTTGGTATTTTTTCTTCTTTTTAATTTAATGTCATTTAATTTTCTCCTTTTTTATTTTTTAATTTTGTTTTTTTCCTTTAATAATTTAATTTCAATTTTAATTCCTTGTTTTCCACTTTATCTTTTTTTAATTTCCTTCTTTTTCTTCTGTGCCTCGCCACTTTTCCTTTTTCCTTCTTTTGGATTTTTGCCTTTCTGTTTTTAAATTCTTTTTGTCTCTCCAGTGCCCCTTTATTTGTGTCTTTATTTGTTCCTTTATTGCCTCAAAATAAAATAAAATGAAAAAATATTTGAATGTTTTATTTTTATTTTAGTTAAATTTATTTCGCATCTGGATTTTTCGTTTTTTTGTTTTTAAATTTTTCTTGCCTCTCATTGTCCTTTTACTTGTGGACAAATTAAATCTCGTTGAGCTGTTTTTTGTCTCTTTTCCACACCACTGCAGCAGCAGCAAT